CCCCATGGTGGCTGTGTCACCAAACTGGCCACGTCCTACCCTTGATGGCCACTGTCCCCATGGTGGCTCTGAACCTTCAAACTGGCCACGTCCTGCCCTTCATGGCCACAGTCCCCATTGATGGCCACATGGACAACTGACCACCAAGCTGGCCGTGTCCTCCTTTTGATGGTCACTGCCCCCATGGTGGCTGTGTCACCAAACTGGCCATGTCCTGCCCTTGATGGCCACTGTCCCCATGGTGGCTCTGAACCTTCAAACTGCCCATGTCCTCCTTTTGATGGCCACAGTCCCCCTTGATGGCCACATGGACAACTGACCACCAAACTGGCCACGTCCTGCCCTTCATGGCCACTGTCCCCATGGTGACTGTGTCACCTTCAAACTGGCCCTTGATGGCCACTGTCCCCATGGTGGCTCTGAACCTTCAAACTGGCCACGTCCTGCCCTTCATGGCCACTGTCCCCATGGTGGCTGTGTCACCTTCAAACTGGCCCTTGATGGCCACTGTCCCCATGGTGACTGTGTCACCAAACTGGTCATATCCTCCCCTTGATGGCCACAGTCCCCATTGATGGCCACATGGTGGACACGTGACCTCCAAACTGGCCATGTCCTTCACATGGTGGCCATGGCCGTGGTCCCCATGCTGGCTCTGAACCTCCAAAGTGGCCATGTCCTCCCCTTGATGGCCACTGTCCCCCTTGATGCTCGTGGTCCCCATGGTGGCTGTGTCACCAAACTGGCCGTGTCCTCCCCTTGATGGCCACTGCCCCCATGGTGGCTCTGAACGTCCAAACTGGCCACGTCCTCACCTTGATGGCCACATGGACAACTGACCACCAAACTGGCCGTGTCCTCTCCTTGATGGCCACTGCCCCTATGGTGGACACGTGACCTCCAAACTGGCCGTGTCCTCCCCTGGGTGACAGCAGCAATGTCCCCTTTGAGGTCCCTGTCCCCTCGGAGCTGGCCACGTCCCCCCTCGGTGTCCACCCCCGCGTGTCCCCGGGGTCACCTGGAGGAAGGAGAGGTCCTGGGTGTGGTCGATGAGGACGATCTCCAGGTTGCCCATGACGATCTCGCAGTTGTTGTACATCTTGTGCAGGGTCTGGTACTGGTGCTGCGCGTCCCCCGTCACGCTCAGCCCGTTCAGCGTCCCCGCGCACACTGCGGGCACCCGCCGCGTCACCGGGGCCGCCGCGGCCACCACGGCCACCACGGCCACCCCCGCACGGTCACAGCAATGTCCCCTCCCAGCTGGCCGTGTCCTGCTCGTGGTGGTCAGGGTCATGGTGGTTGTGTCACCGCCTCAATGCCATGTCAGCCCCTTGATGTCCCTTGGTGTCCCCACCCTTCTGAGCTGGATGTGTCCTGCTCTTGGTGGCCATGGTCCTCATGGTGGCCCTGTCCCCACCATGGGGTCCCTGTACCCTCCATGGGGTCCCTGTCCCCTCCATGGTGGCCCTGTCCCCTCCATGTGGTCCCTGTCACCTCCATGGGGTCCCTGTCCCCTCCATGGTGTCCCTGTCCCCTCCATGGGGTCCCTGTCCCCTCCATGGTGGCCGTGTCCCCTCCATGATGTCCTGGCTATAGCAGTGTCCCCATGGGGTCCCTGTCCCCTCCATGGTGTCCCCTGCAAACATCCTTGTCCCCTCCATAGCGTCCTCCTCAAGGTGTCCCCTGCATGGTGTCCTTGTCCCCTCTATGGTATCCTACCCATGGTGTCCCTGTCCCCTCCATGTCCTTGTCCCCTCCATGGCATCCCCCCCACAGTGTCCCCATGGGGTCCCTGTCCCCTCCATGTCCTTGTCCCCCTCCATGGCGTCCCCCTCACGGTGCCCGTGTCCCCTCCATGTCCCTGTCCCCTCCATGGCATCCCCCCCACAGTGTCCCCATGGGGTCCCTGTCCCCTCCATGTCCTTGTCCCCCTCCATGGCGTCCCCCTCAAGGTGTCCCCTCCTCGATGTCCCTGTCCCCTCCCTCTGCCGTCCTTGTCCCCCCCCAGCCCCCTCCCCAGCGCTGTCC